ATACTCTGCGGGCACCAGCAAATTAAACGTTCAGGGTAACGCAATGGACAAGCATCCTTTTCACCCTGCATATAAACCAGAGCGAAAAAATTACACCAAATATCTCTATATGGTTATTTTGCTTTCTTTAAGCAGTTGATTTAAGCAATGGAACTTTTTCTGCGATTTGGCAGCCATTTTGAATTCTAGTTTGTTTTTTTTTCAATAGCTATTATGGGATGCCTAGGGTTGCCAATACATACTTATTTGCCCCCTGAGCATCCCATAATAGCTATTTGAAATAATATAATTCAAAATGGCTATCGCATCATTGAAAAAGTCCATTGTCTTCATAAGAAAAGTTGAACTCTGTACAAATTTAGTAAATTATTGTATCTCTGCTCATTTAGAGCGGGGCTTAATATATTTAGAAAAGAGCACTTGGTCCTTGAAAATGTGTATTTTATAAATTTCTCAATTTATTTATTTATTTATTTTTTNCTAAGGGTTGCTTATTACTTGGTGCCCATTGATGAGAAATATTAAAAGTTAAGTTCAACTGGGGAGGAAAATTACTTCAGTTGACTTGTTTATCTTATGGACTTTCTTGTGCCCTACGCCTGTTTACAAAAATCTCAAAACCTGTTTATGCCACTCTTAGAGAGAAAAGGCATTTAAATGTGAGGTATATTGAGGACTCGTATCTACAAGGAGGTACGATACATGAATGTCAGTCTAATCTTACTGATACTTGTTGCTGATTTACAAAATTGGGGTGTCCTGTACACTCTGTGAAATTAGTGCTTGGACCAGTAGAGACACTTGTTTTTCTCCGGGATTTTGTTCTGAATTCTCTCAGTATAACTGTGTCTCTCTCCCAAAGCAGTACCTTGGGCTTATTAACAGTGTAACTATATCAATTTAAAAAGAAAATAGCTTTTCAGAATTACAATGGTGGTGAGATAATATTGAGAAAGCTGACTGTCCTCTTTGTACCCCAAATGCAACATAACCCTGTACACGCTTCACACAAGGGTTAGGATGCAGTCATGTGCATTGAAAAACAGGAAGCAGAAGGACTGAAACTGAACCAAAGAATAACATTAATTGCCTTGAACTCATGGCTGTAGTTTTTGGTTTGAAAGCTTTCTACAGTAGAATGAAAAGTGCCGATATTTGCATTTATTTGGTCAATACAACCAGTGTTAACTGTCTTAATTCTATGGGAGGTACACATTCCATAGAGTGCAACTCCGCTGCTTAAGATATCTGGCAGTTTTGTATTGAGAGACAGATCTGGATTTTTGCTGCTCTTCTCCCACTGAGGGAAGAATAATACTCAGGCTCACAGAAAGTCTAGAGATTTTACTAATAATAAGGAGTGGAATTGTTAAGACCAGACATATTTCAGCAAGTTACAAAAATCTGGTTGAACCATCATCTCTTGATCTCTTTGTCTCTAGGCCAAATGCACAGTTGTCTTGTTATGCATTCTGGGGACCTGATCCTGGCACAACTTATGTAGATGTTTTTTCGATTACATGGGAAACACAATTTTTTCTATGCTTTTCCCCCATTTAGTTTGATTGCTCATTTCCGGCAAGATAGCGAGGGCGGAAGCAGAGGGCATAATGATTGTTCCCTTCGACCTACCCAGCCATGTACAGCTGGTGCACCTGAGAGTAGATGTGCCAAGGACATTTCCACAGCAACTGATCATGACCATGCTCAAAGTGCCAGGGAAAGAAGATGAGTTTCGTCCATTAATAAAGACAATGTTCCTGATGGTTTGCAGATTATCAGGGAATCCCTTGAAGTGCAGGGAATTTTTAAGAGGGCTGAGGACATCATCCTACAATTTTGGAGACATGGAACTCTTAAACAGTACTCATCTTACATTAGGAAGTGGATAAATGTTGTGGTAGCCAACAAATCGATTTTGTTTCCCCCACTTTATCCCGAGCATTAGATTTTCTAGTTGAGCTGTTTAAAAATGGAATAGGATATAGTGGTATAGACACTGCCAGATCTTATTTGTCGTGCATTATCAATCCCTTGGCTCTCATCCTACAGTTACAAGGTACCTCAGAAGGGTTTTTTGAACGAAAACCCACAACACCATGATACACACTTATACGGGACGTTGGCAAGGTACTTTGCTACCTCGAGACAATATATAACTCAGAGGATTTATCATAAAGGGACCTGATCTTAAAAACTGTAACGGTTCTATCTGCCAAAAGAGGCCAAACTATTCATTATCTTAACCTTGATGATATGATAAGTTCAGAAACTTTGATTATGTTTACCTTGAAGAAACTTCAAACAATCCGAACCAGGAGTTAAGCTAATGCTAATCGAGTTTACTTCATATCCTCCTGATCCTTACATTTTTGTGATCACTACTCTAAGGATGTACTTAGCTTGCACAAGATACAAACATGGTGACAGTAAGGCATTGCTCATTGGATCATTAGGCCAGTTTCTGAAGAACAATTAGCGAAAGGGCTATGGTTGTTATGCACAGGTCTGGGATAAATGTTGAACTGTTCCGGCCTCTAAGTACTAGTGCTGAAGCCACATCCAAAGCAATTGTATATTCTGCTCCTTAGATCGGATTCTGTCAACATCCGAGTGGAGTTCAGCCTCCACATTTGCTAAGTTTTACAACTAACCTGTTGATGTTGATAACGATGTTGCAGAAAATGTTTGAAATCTGTAGACGAGGAGATTGTTATGTCATCGATACTCTGCAGAGAGAGTGTTGTGTTACAGAATATGGATTCTGTGTGGAATTTGTTACATGTGTTTCGTTGATTAATATTAATTTCGTTTATTGACATTTGATTATTTAATTAGTCGCGTGATTGACAGCCGATGACGTAATCGCTAAGTAATTTGATCTTTGAGTTAGAATGACACGCTTTTAAAACCACGAAATCAGAGACAAAGGTCATAAAGCGTTTTGTACCTTACGTTGAACATCGCTAACCTGTAGTGTTTTACTGCTCGATCTGCTGACCCGTTTCCCTGACCAGTTACCGAAATAAGTTTGACTGGATATCGCCACAGAAGTTAGTGACCATTTGTTTATTTAACCCGTTGAATTTTGAGAATTATATTTCCATGCAATTTCATGAATCGTTCGCTATTAGATTTCTTAAGAATTATGTATCTTATGTATCTTCCTTATAGATCGAATAAAACAATACTAGTAGTAATCAGAGATT